ATTTATCAATCATTTATGAACTAATTCATGTTGCAGATTATGCTATGTAGCAAATATACTGTACTTGAAGAACTTTCAGTATACATGGGGATAGAGTAGCAAAGCAGGTCAACTGATAGACATCTGAGATACAGCTCCATTCTAAAATTATAATTTAGAAGATGGCCAATAGGCACGTGAAAAGATGCTCAACATCGCTAACTATTAGAGAAAAGGAAATCAAAACTACAATGAAGGTCAGAATGGCCATCATTAAAAAGTCTACAGATAACAAATGCTGGAGAGGGTATTGAAAAAAGGGAACCCTCCTACACTGTTGGTGGGAATGTAAATTGGTGCAGCCACTATGGAAAACAGTGTGAAGTTTCCTTAAAAAACTAAAAACAGAGTTGCTGTATGACCCAGCAAATCCACTCCTGGGCATGTACTTGGAGAAAACTATAATTTGAAAAGATACATGCACCCCAGTGTTCATAGCAGCACTACTTACAGTAGTCAAGACATGGAAACAACCTAAATGTCCATCAACAGATGACTGGATAAAGATGTGACATATATACACACAATGGAATACTATTCAGCCATAAATAAGAATGAAATAGTGCCACTTGCAGCAACATGGATAGACCTAGAGATTATCATACTAAGCGAAGTAAGTCAGAAAGAGAAAAACAATTACCATATGATATCTCTTATAAGTAGAATCTAAAATATGACACAAATAAACTTATTTACAAAACAGAAAGAGACTCATAGACATAGAAAACAAACTCACGGTCACCAAGGGGAAAGGTGTGGAGGAGGGACAAATTAGGAGTTTGGGGTTAGCAGATACAAACTACTATATATAAAACAGATGAGCAAGGTCCTACTGTACAGTACAGAGAACTATATTCAATATCCTATAATAAAACATAATACAAAAGAATATGAAAAAGAGTACCTATATATGTATAATTGAATCACATTTTTGTACACCAGAAACTAATACAACATTGTAAATCAACTATACTTCAATTTTTTTAAAAAAGCAAATATAATAGTGGGAAAAAGAAAAACTAGGAATAAACTTATCTAAGTAGGTAAAAGAGCTGTACTCAGAAAACTGTAAGATCCTGAAAAAAGAAATTGAAGAGAACACAAACAGATGGAAAGCTATACTGTGTTCATGGATTGGAAAAATTAATATTGTTAAAATGACCATACTACCAAAGGTAGCCTACAGATTCAATGCAATCCTTATCAAAATACCAATGGCATTTTTTTTAACAGAACTAGAACAAATCATTCTAAAATTTGTATGGAAACACAAAAGACCTCAAATAGCCAAAACAATCTTGAGAAAGGAAAACAAAGCTGGAGGCATCACACACTTTAATTTTAGACTATACTACAAAGCTACAGTAATCAAAACAGTAGTACTGGCACAACAGACACATGGATCAATGGAACAGAATAGGAAGCCCAGAAATAAACCTACACATCTGTGGTCAATTAATCTATGACTAAGAATATACAATGAAGAAAAGACATCCTCAATAAGTGGTGCTGGCAAAACTGGACATATACATGTAAAAGAATGAAATTAGAACATTTTGTCACATCATATACTAAAATAAATTAAAATAGATTAAAGATCTCAATGTAAGCTATGAAACCATGAAATTCCCAGTAGAAAACATGACATAAATCATAGCAACATTTTTTGCATCTATCTCCTAGGGCAAAGAAAGCAAAAGTAAAAATAAACAAATGGTACCCAATTAAATTTAAAATTTTTCACACAGCAAAGGAAACCACTGACAAGACAAAAAGACAATCTACTGAATGTGAGAAAATATTTGCAAAATGACATGACCAATAAGGGGTTAATATCCAAAATATACAAACAGCTCATACAACTCAATATCAAAATAAATAAATAAATAAACATAACAATTTTTTTAAATAGGCACAAGAACTGAAATAGACATTTTTCCAAAAAAAGACATACACATGGTCAACAGGCACATGAAAATAAGCTGAATATCACTAATCATCAGAGAAATATAAATCAAACCCCCAATGAGGTATCACCTCACACCTGTCAGAATGGCTATCATCAAAAAGATCACAAATAAATGCTGGTGAAGCTGTGGAGGAAAGGGAATCCTTGTAAACTGTTGGTGGGAATGTAAATTGGTGCAGTCACTATGGAGAACAGTATGGAGGTTCCTCAAAAACTAAAAATAAAACTACCACATGATCCAGCAATTCCAGTCCTGGGTATTTATCCAAAGAAAACAAAAACACTAATTTGAAAAGATACATGCACCCCAATGTTCATGGTGTATTACATACAACAGCTAAGTTATGGAAGTATTTTACTAAAATAAGTCAGTTTCTATCAACAGATGAATGGATAAATGTGGTATTTATACACAATGGAATACTACTCAGCCATAAAAAAGAATAAAATAATGCCATTTGCAGCAACATGGATGGACCACATTCTCTTCAGTTGAGAAATTCCGAGATGCACACCTGGGCCCAAGTAGGACAGACATGGGAAAGTTGGTTTATGTCTAACTGTAATCTGTTTTCTGCTATGTGGACTACGGAAGCAGAGGATTTGTACTACATTTCCTGTTTAATTTATACTAGTTTGTGCTGGAGTTCTACCACCCATAAATAAGGAATCCTAACTAACACAGAAGTTTTTTTTAACTGACTGAGTTTTTTGTAAGTCATTTATCTAACCCTTTGACTTACCTCAGAATAAAATTCAGATGCTGAAGTCATGACTCATTTACAGAGTTAATTCATTCTATCCCATGAAAGAACGATATATGCTTATAGTATAATATAAAGCAAAATCATATCACTGAGTATTTAACGGCTTTTTCACTCTAACATAAAAAATTCTATTTGTAGATAAAACAGGTACATTTGAAAATATGAGTGAATGATAGCTTCATAATAGGGTAATGAAATTTCATTTCACTGTAGCAAATTGGTAGGATATGTAGCCAAACTCCATGATATCTTAATAGTTAAAAATTCTACTTTACCTTTCACTTCATTAGATTAGGAGAATCCAAATGCAAATAATATGTAAAGCCATTCCTAACACAAACTTAGTTTTAAGAGTATAACCAAATGTTCCAAGATTATGACACAGCTTTAGGAACTTTGATCTTAAAACCTTCAGTATGTATTCTGGATTACTTCTGGTCTGCAGGTAGATTTTTTTTTTTTGCATTAGTTTTGTGTTGTACAGGGTTTCTCTTTTTCTGTCCTTGCTGTTTTACTCTCTTTGTAGGAACTAAAGATCCAGAAAGACATTAGTGCTGCAAGGGAGGCATTTCCATCTATGGCAGAAAAGTCACTTCATTGTACTTTTGGAAGGGAAAAAATGGGTTCCCATTGTGCCAAATAGAATTCAATGTTTCCCTACCTGACTGGCAAGGAAAGCAAGGGCATGATAATATAAAGTCAAAATCCTTAAACATAAAATATGGAAATTTGATTTTGAAGAGAAAAAAATTCACATAGATTATGATCTAAGAAGTATTTTTTTTCCTTTGACCCCCAATAACATGAGCAGAGACAACACTAAGTTTCAATACCATTCAAACTGATAAGGCACAACACATCAAACGAAGGCACTATAACTGTAAATTATGGATTAAAGTGATTATATGAACAATGTACTCTCATATACTACTGAATTTAGTTTTAAGTGAGGTGAAATAGGGTTTTAACTGGAATACATGGCAATCAATGAGTCTGTGATCTAAGAGTTTCCAAGGAGACTGTTGGCTGTTCTAATAGGACACAGTAATTGCTGAAACCAAATCAATTATGCCTGGTTATCACAGATCTAATATGTATATTTTCCACACCAGGAGTATTGAGAAACTAATATAAATTGCTGACTTCCATTCTCACTTGGACTTTACAACTCTTGGATACAGAGCAGGAAAATAGTCAACTAGAAATCAAAAATGAAAATTTAATAAGGCACAAAGATCCCACGTTTTACTTAGGGGAAAAGAAACTAATAAATCCCTTGGATGGAATGTAAAAAAAAAAAAGTATTCCCTAATCTTTTCAATGTCTATAGTTTATATTCTTCCAGACCATAATTCTAATCATTATCAAGATTAATATTATTTATGACTATTATAATACACAGAAAAACTTGTACAAGGATCCTATCTTCTCAGTAGACTGTTATAAATATCATTAACTCTTTGAACATCAAATGAGGAAGGCAGAAATTCTTCTTACATTAAGCCAGAGCTACACCGCCACAGGCTCAACTTGGCACTGAGGTCCTATCTTAAACTGCAACTCAAGTCCTCATCTATGATAAACCTGGGCCTTCATCTTAAGGCTTTCTGTTCAGTACTGGCTGGTTCCCCGGTCCATTCAGTTTCTTTCACACTAACCACAGCCTAGTGAAGATTTGGATTTCACCTCTTCTTCACAAAGCATTTGCAGAGCCCTCCCCAAAGCAGCTATTCCCGAGCCTCATCTTGCCTGCACCACATTTTAAAGAATGCCATACTCATTGGCCTAACTCAATTCTGGGTTTCTTCATGACAGTCCGACTTTGAAGGTCCCTGAGATCAACTGCTAACATAAATAAAGAAAATGAAATGCCAGTCGGCACAGCACAGTTAATATGCAATACTACTTAAAGACGGAATACATATTAAGATAATTTCTAAGAGAGTCTTTCATCCCCAAAAGATTATTAACTAAAGGCAATTTTTTCTAATGTTTAATTTACTTATAGTAATTTTATCTTACAAGGAAAATCCATTTTAAAATTATTTTTAGGGCTACTATTTTAGCTTCTAGGTAATAGTGACTCAGTGGATCTTCATGCAACAACATTTTTAATAGAATTCATCACCTGGACAAAATGCTGGCACACCATACAAATATTCAGAGTTAAATAATTACTTTAAAAGCTCATTTATATTCTCATACTGATAATCATAGACTTTTACCTTGAGCAGGTATGTGGGAATATTGCTGAAATCGACCGGCAACTTCAAAAGGAAACGAGCTGAAAATTCACCAGTCTGTGGGGAAAAAAAGATATAATAATAAGATTAAAATCCAGAATCGATTGTGAAGTGACAATTACAGCCAAGGCCACAAGTTCAACCTGTTCAAACTGCAGGCATCTTCAATTTGGGTTTTCTCACATCAAGCAAGAAAAGAAGGTTGAAAAAGTAGGGGAGGATCAAAAAGCACTATTAAATTATTAGTTACTAAAAAGCACAATTAGGATTTTTTAAATCTGCATTTTAAATGTGCAGTAGAATTATAATGCAGTAGTACTACCTTTTTGTTTTTTAAAAGTATGAAAAGAATACATGAATGTATGATTGTTTTAATTCAAACAATAGGCACAGACCTGCCCATTCAATTCATTTGATTTTACTAAAGCATTCAGACCACTTCACTAATACTTAACAACCCATAAGCTAATGACATATATCACCATCCTTTACAGTACGTCTGGAAGTAAAAACAAAGATCAAACTTGTACCTACCCATATAAACCAGTTACATCAGTGGGTACCCCAAGTAAGAGTCTAATCTCCTGACAATCTGTTACTATCATTATCATCAACTAGTATTTTTCAGTAACTCTTTCTATGAACTAGTCTCTATAGGAAAGATGTACAGAGGTTTGGTGATTTAAAACATTTAACTACGCTTAAGTAATAGCTTCTATTTTTTTCTAAAAGAGAAAGCTCATATAAAAGAAGTTTCCCTCTCCATTTATGATGATGGGAAATCATCATAATTTTTTTTCTTTTTATGATGGGAAAGGCTAAGGAATTGCAGTTTTTCCAAGTGGCCTCTGCAGACACCTAGGGGTTCTAAGGAATTCTGCCATGTAATAAAGTGTGCTGAGCTGGTGGGGTCCTGGGGCTTCTAGCCTCTCTGACTGCAAGCCTGGAGTGCAGCTTGGGATTTTGACATACTGGGTTTCACTATGACATGTTGTTTGAATAAAGAACTCTGGGGATGAGTTAGAACTACTCTAAAGAGTAGATCCCTATGTTTATCATGTTGTTACCACTAAAAAGCTCCCTAAATCTCCACTGCCTTCCCTCCTTAAAAAAACAGCACCTCAAATTCCCTAAAACACATCTTTAAACACAGCAGGCATTTACAAATATTTTTTACGGATGAGTTGATGAACACACGTAAGGACGCGTGCCCACCTCTTACAGAAGATTCCACAACAGTCACCACTCCTTTCTACAAACACCCAAGCAACTAGCTTCAAGGTCCTGGCCCTAATTTTAAAACTCTGACCTAAAACCTTGAAAATGAAAACAGAAATATAAACCTTGAGCTCAAAAGATAAAAATGATAACTCTATCTGCATAGCTGGGTGTTGTTTGTTTTACTGCTTACAACATCTTTTAACTTACATCAACGTCTGGCTAAGGACAGAGCACTTCTTTATCACCACAAGCCTGACCCCATGACAGAAAAGCCAGAAGAGAGAGAAGTGAATGGAAAAAATCAAAGCTGAGGTCACAGAATACATTCCACCACTAAAGAAATGACAATGGTGACAAACAGCGCTAGTCCTTAGAGCTGAGCAGCTGCGTTCTTCCTTTGATATTTATTCCTCATTTTAGTAAATGGTAATTCCATTCTTCAGTCTCAGGCAAGAAACCTCAGAATCATCCTTGACACAGCATAGAACATCAATACATGCAGACTATTCTCAACTCAGTACTTGATAGAATAGTTAAGAGCCACCTAAGTAAGGATCTATAAACAGCTCCACATGGTGAACGGGAGGAGGTTTGTGAAAGATCCTACTTAAATTCTTACTTCTGTTACAGTCCCAGATTATTAGAAAGGTGTGGTTTTAGGGTTATTTTAAACTCTAAGAGGACTAACATACCCTGTGAAGTGTGATTCTATGGACCTAAGTACAAGTTTCATTTATCCAACTGCCATGACTATAATCAAAATCCTGATTTTGTGCCCTTCCTTGGATATTTATTCATTTCAATAAATGGCAACTCTACTCCATTCTCTCAGGCCAAAAAACCTCAGAATCATCCCTGACTCCTATTTTTCTCTAGCTTCCACAATCAAAGCAGCAGCAAATCCTGCTGACTTTGCTGTCAATTTACATCCTCAGTCCAACCACTTCTCACCACCTCCACAACCACCTGATCTGAGCCATTATTATCTCTGGCCTGGATAACAGCCACCACCCTCCCTGCTTCAGTCCTTGCTCACTTGCAGTTTACTGCCATCACTGCAGGCAGAGCGATCCTTTCAACCCACTAGTCAGATTATGTTCCTCCTTTGCTCAAAACTCTCAAATGGTAAGGATGTAGCTCCTTCACAGAGTAGTCTGCAAGGCAGCAATTGACGTTTTGAAAGAGGTGAGGGAGCAAACATGTGAAATGTACGGGAAAACTTTCCAGGCAAAGAGAACGGCAAGTGTAAAGAGGCTTGATGCAGGAGCACACCTAGATGTCCAAGAACAAGCAAGAAGGTCACTGGCACAAACAGACACTAATACTGATCTGAGGTCACCCAGGAACTCTCTTCTCCATAGTGTGAGCCATTTCTAAACTCCTGAGGGATGCGCAACAATCATTCATAAAACGGGTGAACCCTCAAATGGCTACTGCATCTTGGTGGGATATTTGCTAAGTCAGTCCTGGGGATGTTAAGGCAGGTTTTTAAAAAGTAACATAGGATTGGAAGAGGCTGAGAAAGGGAGGTGGCTGGACAGATAATAAATCAAATTCAGTTCATTTCTTCATTTTCAATTTATAGAGGTAAACCCTGTACCAATCAATACACAGCCATTTCTACCTATTAGTCTGAAAATGTCAATCTGTAGGTTAAAATGGCAGTCTCAAAACTTTTAGTTTGTTAGACTCAGGGTTCTTAAATATACTTTTGAAAACAATAACAAAGGGAGTAAAATGTGGGATTTAAAAAAATTAAAAGAACTCTTGTACATATAAGGTAATCAAAAAATAATGACATATTTAGCACTTGTACTCATTTGAACTGCTAGTTATTTTAGTCCATGCACTGCATTCTAGCTCTTTTGCCCTATTTTAGTTTGTACAATGTATTTTTATTCTACTGGCTATTTTAGACCAACATTCTTTCAAAAATGCTCAGACGATCCCTACTTTATCCCTTCTTAAAATGTTGATCCTAGAACTAATATAAATTTATGTTTGTTGGCAGCAAATTGTTTTATACAAGTAAATTCATAATAAAAGAAATGTTGATCTCAGGAGTAATATAAATTTGTGTTTATCAGCAACAGGCTGATTTACAACTAAATTCATAACAAAAAAAAAAACTCAAGACTGAAAAGAATTTGGTCTCCTGGAAACTATAAAAGTGCTTTATGATCTCCAACTTTCAAACCCTATTATACATTCTTTATTTTGCCATTGAGAAAATAAGGAAAACTTCATACTCGTTGGAACTAAGACTCAAGAACCCAGCTTTCAGTTCTGCCACTGTGAGCTGATCTTTCTTGTGTGTGAAACTGAGTAAATGACGATTTAAAACATGTCTTAATGTAAAATTTGAACCATAAATGTCATATGAGGAGCAAAACACACGTGAAAAAAATCCTTCTTGCATTCTACTTCAGACAGCGACTCTTCCTGTGCATTTGCATTTGAAGCTCCAACAGTTACTCAAGCCATTTACGGCCACTCTGTTGTAACGGCTGAAACGTCAAAGATTGCTTCCATAGTAATCTTTCCTGTAAGCTGAAAATGAGACATTTAGATGCAGCCAAGTGAACAGAATCATTTGATCTTTTTTTTTTTGTCAATCCTTGGTCAAACCTTCTCCTGGATAGACGGAGATTATCTGACCTAGAACTGTTAAAATGTCAACTGTTCTGCCAACTGCCTTAGTGGCAATTTCCCAGCATTAGCAGTAAATACATGCAGCCTTCCTTTTTTCAAGTTGTAGTACATTGGCAAGTAACAAACTAATAAGACTGAGTTTTGGCAATCAACTAGGCTTAAGCTCTTCTTCTGGTAAGAGCAGCTATGACAGAGTTCTCTTCTCCTTTTAGAAGAGACAGATATCTTGTGCAGAATAGATTCCAAACCCGGGTTGCCCTGCAAAGAGAAATTTTACGTCCTTTCTTGGAGACTGTTCGCTGTCAACAAACAAACTGTCACCTGAAATTGACTGCTCTTAATACCTAAAAGCTAAGATATACTCAAGAGTGTCTGTAAATTTAGAGCCGGGTGACAGCCCAGCCTGGTAAAGATGATTCTTCCAATGGTCTCTGACAACAAATAGCCTAAACCTGGAGATTATTCCTTGTTAAATGCACTACTGTATGTGAAAAGGAAAGCCAAAGTTAGTCTAATTAGAGCATCTCATACTTCACAAAAACGTTTTCTAAGATATATTATTTAATTATTCCCAAACCCTCTTCAGTAGATATAATTCATTTATACCTATTTTAATGGAAGTACTGGGGATTGAACCCAGTACCTTGTGCATGTTAAGCACGTGCTCTACCATTGAGCTATACGGTTCCATTATACCTATTTTAGAAATGAGAAAACTGAGGCTTAGAACAGTCAAGAAACTTGCCTATAGTCATTGAGAGAGTAATGAAGAATCAGAGCTCAAACTCAAGACTCAAGATTTACTCATCCATTCACTACTGTGGATTATGAGCCTCAAATGTGCCAGGCCCCATACCAGGCACTGCAAATGTGAGTAACAGAGACATGATCCCTGCCCTCCTGGAGCTTATAGTCTAGTGAGTGAATCAGACATTAATCAAAATAATATCCCTATAAATTACAACCTGTGAAAAATACCATCCACGAAAGGGCAGAGAGCTCTGAGAGCATGTTTCAGGAAGGCCTAACCTGTCTAGGCCTTGGGGTTCATTACTTGAGGGAAACTTTAAAAAGCTGAGTCAAAAGACCATGTAGAAAAATAAACAATCAATACTAGCTAGGAAAAACTTAAAGAAGAAAAGCAATGAGAGGTGGCTAGCTACACCAGACAGCAAAGCATCACC